CACTTGGTGCCGACTACGAAAGAGCGGTACAGCGGGTGGAAAGGATTCTACTGCCGGCATTTGATAGCTGGCGCACGGGTGGCGAGGACGCGACCTCTGTTGTCGGCGTGGTCGTCGGAACGTTGGATTGGATGTTTCACGAGTATCGCCGGACATGGTCGCAGAAAACTGCCAAGCGACTGCAGCCGCTGAGTCCAGGTCAATGCCGTGTGCACGAGACCGGCATCAAGATGATTTGTGAATACCTCCTGCAGGACGGCAGGCGTCTCGGAACGCGGCGCGTCTCCAGCATCGATACTGCTTTCGCCGATGACCTCTTTGAAAAGCTTCTTTTCAAAGAGGTGAAGGGCGAAAAGATCGAACGCCGCACCACCGTCAATCACGCGATGAAGACCGCGCGTTCGGCATGGAATACGGTATCACGCGCCAATCCGGGCATATTTCCTCCGAAGAATCCATTCGAGAAGATGGGTCTGCAGTCGAACTCTCGGGAAACGCCGCATGCGACGTTCGCCGAGTTGGCGGCGTTCCGGGCCAAAGCGATCGAAATGGGCTATTCCTCGCTCGCCACTGGCGTTTTGATTGGGTGGGAGCTGCTTCAGCGCGAGGCGCACATCTTCATCCGTTTCGTGGCCGAACATTACCGGCCTCCGAGCCGGCCAAACCACGTCTATGTCATCAACTACAAGACGAGTACGGGCTCGTGGGAGCCACTGTTCAATGCCAAAGGCAAGCCGCTCTATCCCCAGTTGATGACCGAGTTGGATGCCATTAAGGAGTTGCGTCCTACAGGGGGCCTCATGCTGCGCCGGGACGGCAGCAGCCAGCCGTGGTTTGGCAAGGGGGAGATGCTCACCCAGGTTCAGCGCATTTCGAAGAAGGTCATCCTTGCCGCGAGTCTTCGTCCTGAACTGACCTTCACCTCGTTCGGCCGCCATGGCGGCACGACGGAAGCGAGCACGTCCGGGCTGACGGAAACGCAGTTGATGCAGAAGGGGCAATGGTCGTCGACGGCAGCGATGGCGAACTATCTGCACGACGACGACGAAGCCAAGCAGGACGCGCAAATGAAGCGCATCAAACGCCGCGCGAAAGTGGCGAAGCAAGCGGCCGTAAAGTGAACATTTGTCAGAATGGAAATTTCAGTTTGTCAGAATGAACTTTGGGATCTGAGCTAACCCATTGAAAAGGCTGGAGCGGGTGAAGGGAATCGAACCCTCGTATTCAGCTTGGAAGGCTGCTGCTCTACCATTGAGCTACACCCGCAGTGCGGCGAGACCTAGCATGGTCATTCCGCCGCCTCAACCACGATTGATTTGAAGCCCGGGCCCAAAGGAACCATATTCCGGGGAAGCGGGTTCTCATGAGAACCAATTCCAATCGGGAGACATTTCATGCGCAAGGCACTTTTAGCCGCCCTGGCTCTGGCGGGCGTTGCCGTCTTTGGCGCCGGCTCTGCCGAAGCTCGGGATTATCGCTTCTGCCTGGTCGAGGGTTGGCAGGCCGGTCCCGGCACCTGTTACTACGATACTTACGCCCAGTGCATGGCCAGCGCCTCGGGACGGCGCGCCTATTGCCAGGTTAATCCGGTCTTCGCCTTTGCCGAGCAAGGCCGATATGCCGAACCCGGCGCTCGTGTGGTGAAGCCGCGCAAGGTGCGCCGCGAGCGGCGCTATAACGACTAAGCATTGCTCAGCGGTCACCGTCATTGAGAAAGCCGCCCCGATCCAGCGAGGGCGGCTTTGTTACGTCAGTCACGGCGCTCGAGATCGCGATACGACGATAACCGCGACAGAAATGCCAGCACCAGTCCAATCCCGACCAGCGAAAATCCCATTGTGAAAATCTTGGAGACGCCAGTGGTCGGCCCAAGCGTGGCGTCACCCACCGTGGTCAGGGCTACGACACTGAAATAGGCCGAATCGAGCCACGACCAGCCCTCGACCCAATGGTAGAAAATCGAACCGCCCAGCACCGACACGGTCAGCAGGAAGATGATGGCCTGAAATTCGGGATCGCGCAGGCCGTGCCAGAAGCCGAGAGACAGGCGGACGAGGCCCACGCCGAGCGATTTCATCAGATTTGATCCCCCACGGACAGTTCCCCGCTCCGCAGCCTGACACAGGCACGCCCAATAAAAAATCGCCCGGAAGCAACTTCCGGGCGATTTCAATATGGTGGGGGAAGAAGGACTCGAACCTTCGAAGCCATACGGCGGCTGATTTACAGTCAGCTCCCTTTGCCACTCGGGACACTCCCCCGCTCGACGTCATCGGACACCCTCGCCCACCCGAACGGGGTGGTTGAACGGCCATGGATGACGGTAAAAAGCGTGCCCGTAGACGGGCGCCCGGTCGGCGCGTTTATGGGCGAAGCACCGGGGTAAAGTCAACCAATGCCGGGACGATTGTCACATTTCCCTTCCCGCCGTCCGAAGCCGGAAATTGCCATTATTTCAGCCCCGTGGGACAAGGCCGCATGAGCGATCGAGACCGCAAATCACGTTTCAAAGGCCCCAAACCGGGCGGACGCGGTGGCGACCGTGACCGGGAACGGCACGGGGAGCGTTCCGGGAAGCACCAGGGAAAGCCTCAAGGACGTCCTCAGTGGCGCGACCGCGAAGCCAGGGGACACGCGAAAGGCGAAGGTCCTGTCGTTCTCTATGGCTGGCACTCGGTCACCATGGCGCTGGCCAATCCCGAACGGCGAATCCGCAAGCTGTTCGTCACCGAAAACGTCGCCCGCCGCCTTGCCGACGAGAAGATCGACACCCGCGTTCCGCCGGAACTGGTGCATCCGGGCGACATCGACCGCCGGCTCGGGCCGAATGCCGTGCATCAGGGCCTGCTCGCCGAGGCCGATCCCCTGCCCGGCCTGCATCTCGACGAACTGCCTCAGGACGGCATCGTGCTGGTGCTCGACCAGATTACCGATCCGCACAATGTCGGCGCGATCCTGCGCTCGGCCGCAGCGTTCGGCGTCAAGGCAATCGTCACCACCGGACGGCACAGCCCGGAAGCGACCGGTGTGCTGGCCAAATCCGCATCCGGCGCACTCGAGCTTGTGCCCATCATCGAAGTCCCCAACCTGCATCGCGCGCTCGGCGAGATGAACGAGGCAGGCTTCCTGACGGTCGGTCTCGACAGCGAGGGCCAGGGCGATCTCAGCAAGGTGCCCCTGCATGCGCCGCTCGCTCTGGTGCTGGGCGCGGAAGGCAAAGGCCTGCGTCAGCTCACGCGCGAGACGTGCAGCGTGGTCGCACGCATGGACATGCCCGGCGCGATCAAGAGCCTTAATGTCTCGAATGCAGCCGCGCTCGCGCTCTATATCGGGACAAGCCGTCTTGGCCTGATGGGCTGAATCAAAACGCCCGCCTGCGTGATGCAGACGGGCGTTTCGCTTTATATCCGATCAATCAGATCAGTATTTGTAGCGAAGCGGACGCGATCCGTGCGCCATGGCGTGGCCGTGGTGACGGTGCGTGTAATAGTACTTCGGCGCGGTGCGATACGGACGGTAGTGCATCCGATGATAGCCGCGGTGATAATGGCGGCGGGCGTAGCGATAGCTGTAGACCGCAGGTCCCTGCACGCCCGGTGCGCCGTCATAGTAATGGCTGGTGGCGTTGCCGTACGGACCGCCATCATAACCATAACGATAAGGCCGGCCGTAGTAGCGCGAACCGATCACCGCGCGTTCCTGATAGGTCGGCACCGGAGCAAAGTTGCCGGGGCCGGTATAGGTCGGGCCCTGATTCACCCAGTAATACTGCGGGCTTGCATACGTCTGATAAGCGTCCGCATCGGTCAGACGCTCGCGCACACCGCAACCGCCGTAACCGTAGCCGGTGCCGTAACCGCATCCGTAGTTGTAAGCATAATAGCCGTAGCTGCCGCACGGATCGGTCACCGCACATGCCTGCGCGGGTGCCGCCGTCGCCATGGTCGCAGCAAAGGCTGCTCCCGCAATCAATCCTGCAATCGTCTGACGCATTACTCTCTCCTGTTTAAACACTTTTGTTTTGGTCTCGTTATTGTTTCAGATCGGGCCGGAAACCATTCGGCCTGTAGCTGGGCCGGAAGCCGTTCGGCCGACCGCTCTGATCGCGCGGCGCTTCGATGATCGACGGTGGATATAGCGGAACGTCGTAGTGCTGCTGCGGCGCCGGCGGCGCGGATTGCGCGGACCACGAGCGATGATAGCTCTCCGCAGGCTGCGGCAGCGCGCGATTGGCAGGCGGCTGAATTTCGAGACGGCCGTAGCCCGGCGTGCGTCCGGCGCTCGGATAATAGTGGCCGACTTCGGGGCCGATGTAGCGATCCCAGCCGCCATAAACGCGGTCCGCATTCTTGAAATGTTTGGCGAGGCCCCATTCGCCTTCGACGACGGCATAGGACGCATCGCGGCCATTGATCATGACGGGAACGCCCGCACGGCCGGGAATCACGATCAACGGACCGGTATCGGCCGCAGCCGATGCCGCCGTTCCGATCAAGATCGCCAGAGCCAGTATCGCACGCATGGAATGAGACCTTCGTTGAAGCCGCACCCTAATCCAGCGAGGCAAGCCAGGAGTTAAAGGCCCCGCCCAATCGTCAGGTAAGCCTAACGCGTAAGCATTTGCGGTCGCTCAATTGCGAGCGATTTCAATAAGATTTTGGAAAGTGGAAGGTTAACGGCGGGCGCCGGGCGGGCTCGCTCGCCCGGTTCCACAGGTGAAACAACGCCTCTCGACAACGTGATTATATGATAATCATCATTCTATTGATCGGCCGGATATGCCACTTAGCTCCTCCGTCAGAACGAACAGAGGAGAACTTCGATGACCGTGCAAACCAGAGAATTCAACCACCATCGTTATGAATTCGTGCGTGGCAACGACGGCGATTTCATCGCCTATCAGCGCCATCTCGGCGACGGCGTCTGGCAGACGTTTTCCACGTGGATGATTCCGCGCACGAACGAGGGCTAAGCAATCGGCCGACGGCGGCGGTGAATGGTGCCGGTTGAGAGGATTGAACTCCCGACCTTCGGTTTACAAAACCGCTGCTCTACCGCTGAGCTAAACCGGCGTCGGGGAACAGCTATCAGCGCGGCCGCCTCAGGACAAGACCGCCGGCGATGTTGCCGGGTCGCACGCCAACGGAAAAGCCGCCGCTCGAAGCGACGGCTTTCCGGACAGGACATTGGTCCGCGGCTTTTTCCGCTTCCACCTTCACCTGGCCACCGCCCGGCGTCCCCCGGGGTTCCGGGAACCGCGCATCGCAATGCCGTGAACCTCCGACTTTACCGCAGCGACCAACGGAGGGACTTGTCGCCGATGTCACGGCGCCGGCGCGGAGAACTGCTGCAATGACCGAGTGGTTGCTGGGCACGCTGCTGGTGCTGATCCTGATCATCAAGCTGCTCGACTATTTGGAGCTCTTCGATGTGCTCGACTTTTTGTCCGCGGTCCTGAAGCTGACCGGCGCGCTGTTTTTTGGCATCGCCAGCCTGATCATCTGGGCGTCGCGCAAATTGCTGGGCAAGAGCGGCGGACGAACCGAGGCCGGCTGAAATTCACAGCCATTCAATTTGCGCTGTCGTCCGATTTGGGCCACCAGTAAATGTGGTTGGACATCGGGCGCCCGGAGGATTTCGCATGGACGGCAACGGCGGGTTTCGGACGCACCACAAATATCTGATTGCCGCGATCGGCGTGATTGCCGCTCTCGCTTTCCTCTACAACCTGGGGATTTTCGACGTCTGGTCGGTGGATCAGGCCGCGAAATAGCAATCGCGCGAACGCCAAATATTCCCCCTGTCCTGCGTCAAAACGCCTGTGAATTGCGTGGACAACTCGGCGCGCCTTGGAACGGTCACGGTCTCGTCACCGTTGCCTACGCAGGTAGACAGCGATTCAGGCAACCAGACGAGGACGATCATGCCTTCACATGATGATGACCGTTATGAAAATGCCCTCGACGACGTCATCGCCCAATGCGGCGGTGACACGCGCGGCGCCTTGATGGCGTTGCTCGCGGCGAACGAATTCCTCGAAGCCCAGCTCAACGATCTCCACGCAGCGATCGAAACCGGCGAGGTTCCGCTGCGCTTCGAGAAGGTGCCGGCAAACTTGCTAAATTGACGCGGGCGAACAGAGATAGTTCCCGGAACATAAGCAAGCGGTTTGGGTTCTTCCGTTTCAATCGATTTATTGAAAGGAGAATCCGATGATCAAGAAATATGTGGCTGCAGCTCTGCTCGGAACCGCGTTGGCTGGTGGAGCGGCGTTCGCGCAGACCACAACTCCGGCCTCGCCTTCCCCTGCTCCCGCGGCTTCTGTATCCAGCGAGCAGATGAATCTGCAAGGCAACTGGCGGGCTTCCAAGCTTGTCGGCCTCGCGGTTTATAACGACGCCAACGAGAAGCTCGGCGACATCAGTGAAATCCTTCTCGACAAGAGCGGCAAGGTCAACGCCGTGATCATCGGCGTCGGCGGTTTCCTCGGCGTCGGTCAGCACGACATCGCCGTGACGTTCGACAAGCTGAAATGGGTCGATGAGCCGGTCCGCTCGGCGTCGGCCGACAAGATGCCAGGCTCGGCAGGAACGTCGACAACGACCCGGCCGTCGACAACCACGGGCGCGGCTGGCGGCGGCATGGCTGCGACCGCGACCAAGAATGAATGGTACCCGGACCATGCGGTGATGAGCGGCACCAAGGAGCAGCTCAAGGCCATGCCGGCGTTCAAGTACTCGGAAAACGCGAAATAAAGGCATAGCCAGGCCAGCATAGCCTGCACATCAGCGCGGCCGAATCGGCTCAGCCGGTTCGGCCGCTCGCGTGCCTATCTAAAGATAGGCGCTGAGGCACCATGCGTTGAGCGCAGCCGCAACCGCCAAGGTGACGGCGAGCAACGTATCGACCGCAATCGGCTCCTCAGGAGCCAGTCTGAGAATCATCCGCGTCATACCGGGATTTGACCGCCCCGGCGGCTGCGAGTCTCGCGCATTGTTTTTGCTGGGTCCCCTTGTCAGTTTTCCCTTTCCGAGTCCGATTCTCCCGGCTTCTGGCAGATGGTTGTGCGGCGCAGTGTTGTCATGCGCCGATTTAAACGCACAATGTCCCGCGTTTCTTTCAGCCTGAGAAAAAGAAAAACATGACAGCCAAATTGACCGCAAAGAGTCCCGCAAAAAAACTGATGACTGAATTCCCGCCGGCGCGGGACAATCTCGTAACCCTCGCCAACTGGCGCACCCAGCCTTCCAGCGACTGGAGCTTTCACAACGTCCGCCGCCTGCTGCCGACCGCGAACATCGCGGCGTCGAAAAACCCCGTTCCGCTGGAAAGCTCGCTGGTCGAAATCAGCGACGTCGCCTTTGAGGGGAACAAGGGCGGCCGGACCACGCTGCGCGATGCGCTGCGTACCACAAACACCAAGGGGTTTCTGGTTCTTCGCCGCGGCAGGATCGCGGCCGAGTGGTACGCGGGCGGCATGGATGCCACGACGCCGCATATCGTGTTCTCGGTGAGCAAGTCGATCTGCGGTGCGCTTGGCGGGGTTCTCGCGGACAAGGGATTTCTCAACCCCAACCGGCCCGTAACGGATTACGTGCCCGAGGTCTCGTCGTCGGTTTACGGCGGCTGCTCGGTGCGGCATCTGCTCGACATGACGGTCGGCATCTCCTTTACCGAGGATTACGTCGATCCGGACGGCGATGTCGCGCGCTATCGCCGCGCTGTGGGATGGGATGTCATTCAACCCGGCCAGAGCACCATGGCGCTGCGCGAATACCTCGCGACCCAGAAGCCCGACGGCAAAACCCACGGCCACGCATTCCACTATGTCTCGACCAACACAGACCTGCTCGGCTGGGTCTATGAGCGTGCGGCGGGCCGCGCCCTGTCCGATCTGCTTGGCGAATATCTCTGGACGCCGCTCGGCGCGGAAACCGACGCCTATATCACGCTCGATCCGGAAGGCGCGATGCGCGCCGCCGGCGGCATTTGCGCCGCGCCGCGCGACCTCGCCCGTTTTGGCGAAATGATCCGGCAGCGCGGTGTCGCGCACGGCAGGCAGGTCATTCCCGGCTGGTGGATCGACGACATCAACGACAATGGCGATCCGGAAGCCTGGGCGCGCGGCGAATTCGCCGAGATGTTTCCCGATGCGGCCTATCGCAGCAAGTTCTATCAGATCGACCGCAAGCGGCGCACGCTGTGCTGCATCGGCATCCACGGCCAGTGGATCTACATCGATCCCATCAGCGAACTTGTGATCGTCCGCGTCGCCGCCGAGCCGATCCCGCTCGATGTCGACAACTACCGCGCCTGGCGGCGCGGCTTCGCGGCCATCGTCCAGCACTTTTCATAGGACGTCGGTTAGTTCATCGCGACCACGCCGGCATTCAGCGTGGTCGCGTATGCGACCCAAGCCAGATACGGCGCGAGCAGCCAGGCCGCGGACTTGTCGGCGCGCGAAGCCGCGATAATTGTCATCACAAGGGCGATCAACAGTCCGATGATGATAACGAGCGCCGTGCGGGTGCCGTGCCATCCGAAGAAGACCGGCGACCACGCCGCGTTCAGCGCAAGCTGAATCAGAAACCAGGTGATCGCCGAGGCCCGCGGAGCCGACGGCGCCGCGCGATCCCACAGGCGCCACAGGCTAACAGCCATCAGAATGTAGAGAATGGTCCACGCGATTGGAAAAACCACCGGCGGCGGCGTCCACCACGGCTTTGCCAGCGCCGCATACCACACCGGGATTTCGGGCCGCGTCACATATGATTCGAGAATCCCGACGCCGAGACACAGCAGCAGGCAGAGGGCTAACCGCCCGGCTGATTTCGACGTCATGACATCCCTCCGTAGACGCTCAGCGCGTCAGCCTTTCCAGTTCGGGAAACGCGGCGTAGGTGACACCCTTACAAAGATCCTCGGTGTCCTCGATGATGCGATCGAGCCGCCCGTCAACGTACACGCCCGCACGCTCCTTCACACCGGCGTAACGCCCCGCAATGCGCGCATTCAAGCGCACACACACGACATAGCGCCGTCGGCCCCCGACTTCCTTTTGCGCCGGTTCTGAAATCCCGGCGTCGCGTATGCCCGTTGGATCGTTCAGGTAGGTCCGCAGCAGCGCAAGCAGTTCGGGACGGTAGTTCGCAGGATACGGCTGGTTCTCGATGCCGCGATCGGCGGTGTAGGACAGCCCGTCGCTGCCGCCGGTCCACGTACAGCCCGCAAGACCGAGCGCAACCAGCGCCAGCGCAACGCTCCGCGTATATGTCACCAATTTGCAACGCATTCCGATGAAGTCCACGACCTGAGGCATCGCATTGGGTTTCTTGGACATTGTGTCATTGACAAGGCAACCCCTCGCCGGTTGATTGCAACCACGGCACAGGTGCCAGCGCAAGCTGGCGAATAGGGAATTCGGTGCCGCCGTGCAGGCTCGTAAAAGTGACGTCTGCATGGCCATTCCGAAGCTGCCCCCGCAACTGTCAGCGGTGAGCCGTTGTCCAATATGCCACTGAGCGAAGGCTTTTCAGCCGGGCTTGGGAAGGCGGACAACGGCGGCGATCCGCGAGCCAGGAGACCTGCCTGTACCGGTCATCCTTCCGTCGCACGGGGCGTGCGAAGGGGCGGCGTTCCGCAGCGGTGACGTGACGTAACTGTTGCGGAGGTTCGGCCGATGGCCTGTTTCCTCAGTCAGGACGGAACGTGTGGAGGCAGAAACCTGCCGCCGGCCGTCGTGTCTGCGCGTTCTCACCGCGCCTCCGCGATCACATGCATCGGCGGGGCTTCAACGTGACTCAGTATTCCAAATCTCTCTTTCCGGCGGCGACGCTCGGACTCTCATTCGCAGCGGCATGCCTTGCGGGCACCGCGCTCGTCAGCCCTGCCCGCGCGCAGGACAACGGCGGCACATTGCCGGCGATCAACGTCGATGCGACGCGTCTCTATGGCATCGGCGGCAATGCGGGGAGCAACACCGGCGCTCCCGCCAACTCCATCGGCATCGTCGGCGCTTCGACGACGGTCATCACCAAGGAAGATATTGCGCGGGCGCCCGGCCAAACTATCC